TGTATTTTGATATATATTAATATCACAATACAGTTAGAACGAAATAACACATCTATATATTTAATCAGTATCAGTCTACGTGTAATTTGAGAGAATATATGTATTTTTTTACACGAATAAATTTTATTTTCAGCCAGCAGGGGGACCACCTGTCATTACAGGCAGCCCCCCCTGCTGGCAATGCAGGAGGCAGCCTACCCGGCCATGTGATTGTGGGGTCCTTGCAAGGACCCCACTCTCACATGGCCGGGGGGCACCGGAGGAGGAGGATCTGCCGCAGGAGGGCTCCCTGGGAGTCCCCCCCACCGCGCCGGCGACCGGGTAAGTGAACAAAAACTGGAGGGCGTACAATTACGCCCAGCGGCGTTTTTGTACGTCCTCCGGTCTGAAGGGGTTAAACATTGGGTAAATACAACCGTAGATAAACAGAGAATTCAGAGAGTGTACATGCATTTGCACTAATATTCCTTTAACATGCTAAGTCAGGCTGAATGTACAGGTGGTCAGCTTTGCCTAACATTTAATTCATTAAATGACAATTGAAGCCAGTGAGTACTCTAGTTACTGGAAATGCTACACTACCCAACTAATACTTCCACAAAACCTTCCGTTTTGCCTTAAGGAAGGCACACTATGCACAGCCTATGTGAGCTTTTAATCCAGTGCTTTAGAGTATAATCCATTAGAAGCAGCAACTCACCTGTCATTTTTTTCTTGAGTGCATCTTTAGAACTGGCATAGATCATTTTGCTTTTCAGTGAAGCATTATCAGGGCACCTAAAAAGGAGGAAAAAATAAAAAATATAGACACTAAACACCATTTTGAAATTCTTAACATATCTATAGTAATCTAAAGAAACATGCTTATAGTTTGCCCAATATGTACAGTAAAGTTGTATAGCTGCTATTAGTGCCTTTTGAAACAATTTGTCCATTATCAAGAAGAACTGTAGTCATCTATTCTTGAAAGGAGTCACTGCTGCACAAAATGCTTCTGGGTGTCCACGTTTGTGTTGTGCAATACAATTTGGCAGGACTTCTAGACTGACAGATTCATAGATAAGCACTACTTTCCTCAGAGCAGTGTTAATTTTGGCAGCAAATTTCAATTTAGTTTTAGGCAGTCTTTTAAATGAAATGCCAGTTTAGTAATCTGAATAGTTATAATTTACCAAATATCCTGTAGGTTTAATTGAACAGACTAAAGCCTCTCTCCTTTGCCCCTTCCCCAGCCCTTCTCCATAGCCCCATTTGTGTGTCACTTCCCCAGCACCTTGTCTCGCTGCCATGACACTGCCTCAGAGCTGTAGAATTGGGTGTGAGCAAATATTGCTTTTTCTAGGGTTTAATAAAAAGTTGTATTTCACTATAGTAGTCTCTTCCAAAACAAGACAATGAAAGTTTCTAAAACAGTTTTGGAGCTTATTACTTTTATAAAAGAGCCCATTTATGCATGATTAATCCAGTTTGCTACAAACATGTTAGTCAGTCAACGGGACATCCCCCCCCCCCCATTTTCAGGCAACAGATCATCAGAGGCACAAGAACCAGTTACACACACTAAGTTATATACAAAATGGACATCTAGCTTCAGTCTTATTTTACATTACTCCCCCAAGCTAGAAGCAGATTTATAAATATCTTCCCTAGTTTGCACATGCTCACCAGAGGATGAAAACCAGATCCTCCTTCTTGGTCTCATTTGTTTCATAGCAGGCATCATAGAGGGCATAACGGCAGTCATCCAGGGGTAGCATTTTCACAAATGTCTTGTAGGGGTCATCAACTGTGGTACCGATGTCTCCAACCAAAATTTCCTTGCCCTCCTCTAGGATAATGGTTTTCTTATCAGGACTTAAGCAGAAGAGGATAGCCTTCTTGCGTTTCTTCATATCCTCTGTGGTGGAAGTTTTGCGCACCTTCATGTCATTGAAAGTCTTGATAACTTTATCACACACAGCCACACCTGAAGCCTGGAAAGAAAGTGTCAAGAGTCATGATTTAAGTTTCAGACAGCTGCAATACAACTAGAGATCCAGACCTTTTAGTGTCATTTCTGTGCATGGGAACCTAGGCAAAAAGACAAACCATTGTAAGAATGGTTTGCCTCATTACTGGGGCACCATAACTACAGCAGGCGGTAGTGTTTATGATGCTTAAAGTAACCCTTTTAATATAACACTGCATTTGTTGACAGGGTGATCTAACTTTTTAGATCTTCTACTGCAGCTACAAGCACATAATGCCACAGGTAGACATTGGCTTGCAGAGGTTCAGAAGAATAAAAGTACTTACTGCTGAGCTAAACATTCCATATAACACCACCCAAGCAAGGGTGTATGGTGTTAGGGCTCACACTGAAAACTGGAGGATTTCTTCACTGAAAAGGCAGGGTTTACATCAAAGATCATGCAATAAGTGGTAGTGTGACTAAACAGCTTTGAAAAAAACAAACAAAAAACACACACACACACCCCCACCACTGGCTCCTAGATTCAAAGCATATATCTCAAACCCTGGTGTAGAGGGTGAGGTGTGATACCAATGATGCTCCATGCACGTGAAGGAAATTCTGCATGCGCACTTGTGTATTCCTTTCATACTTGGTGTTAAGGCACAACAGAGGCACCCAGGCCACTTCTTCTAATTGAAGTGGTCTAGGTGTAGTGCCTGTCCCATTTACTCCTGCAATAATTACCTTGCAGGACTAAGACTGCCTCCAGTGGCTGTTTATCAGACAACCTCTAGAAGCACCTCTATGATACTAAGCAACTCAGTCCCTTAGACGCTGGACGCCCTTAAGCTCTGCAAGTGTTGTAAGTCTATACCGGGACTGCACTAGATAAGAACATTTCTGGGGTCTTTTACATTTTGTATATTTACTTGTAGCAAGGTGTCTTCCCGCTGGCCCTCCCGTTCCTGGCTCTTCACCTGCTCAGTGGTGCACTCACGAGAGAGCACACAAACTCCAACAGTCTTTATGAGAGACATTTTGGGTGGAGAAAACGGGACACAAAGTGCGGAGCGGCTTTAACCCCTTAAAAGGACCACTATAGTGCCCTGAGGGTGCCCCCAGCCAGGCTCTAAGGAGTAAGGGGTTAAACTCTTTCTCCAGCGTCGGGCGAGGAGCTCTCCTCCTCTTCGGCTGAATGCACGGCAGGAGCCCCGTGCGCGCATTCAGCCAGTCCATAGGAAAGCATTCATAATGCTTTCCTATGGACGCTGGCGTCTTCTCACTGAAAATCAGTGAGAAGTGCAGAAGCCCTCTAGCGGCTGTCAATGAGACAGCCACTAAAGGCTGGATTAACCAGAATATAAACAGCGAGACCATTGTCTTTATATATAAGTTATACACACACACATACACTGCTGTGTGTATGTGTGTAAGGGTTGTGCGTCTAAGGGTGATGTATATGTGCGGGTCATTTAGTTAATATCCCACCCTCCCTTCTAACCTTTTGTAGGGGGAGCAACAGTGCTGCTGCCATCCCTGGTGGTCCAGTGGTGAGTTAACACTAACCCCCCATCCTGTGGGGCTAGAGTTCATTCTCGCGAGATCTGAGTGTTGCCACGGTTACCGAGAGGAACCAAGTTGAGCTGCCTCCCTCACTTCCTGTGGCCCATGGAGGGAGGCACATAGCGCGGGCCACGGGGATTAGGGTGTGCCTAGGCAGCTTATTTTTCTACTGCAACAAATTTGAAACACCTATGTTATGACATTCTGTCATGGCTGCAGTAATATTTAACCCCTTAAGGACACATGACATGTCATGATTCCCTTTTATGCCAGTTTGGTCCTTAAGGGGTTAAAGAGCTGTTTGAGTGCATTAAAAGAAGAACTATTTAAGAACTCAGAGCCTGACTTGGCAGAATATGTAGACTACATGAGCTCTATTGTTCATGGTGCTAAGAGCTTAAGACCCACCAACTGGTTGTTCTGGTAATATGACCAACAGAGGCCTAAAGGGCAGATAGGAACCAACAGAAACCGTCCCACCCATTATAAACTAACAACCTTAGATCTGTTGCAGAAGTCAGTTTAAGATTCAAATAGTCAAGTGTTTGAATTTCAGGCTCATTGTATTCTGATCTGTCTCTCACACTTAAACACCCAGCAGTAGTGGACAAAATGAGAGGACTACTGCACTATTGATATTAACCCCTGAAGTTCCAGTGACTTTATATTAAATGTTCCAAAGCCAATATTGTTTTATATGGTATATAGGGAGAAGGGTGTAGTGTGTAGCATTCAGCTCTTAAAGCGGCACTGTCATGCCGAACTTACTAGGGATCGACCGATATCTTTACTTTTTTTTTTTAGAGCCGATACTGAATCTGAACTTTTAGGCAGATAACTTACCGATACTCTGTACATTTACCGTTTTGAAAAAAGTTCTTTTTTTTAAGCAAATTTGTTTTATTAAGTGGTAAATGCACAAAATATACATGCCAGTCAGATTTTGTTTTCAAGAATATTTATTTATTGTTCCTCTCCCCCTTAGTGGTCCTCTCTGGTGTGCCTTGTTATCTCTTAACCCCTTAGTGACCAGAGCTCTATATTTCTGCGGTGTTTGTGTTTAGCTGTAATTTTCCTCTTACTCATTTACTGTACCCACACATTATACAGTTTCTCACCCTTAAACGGTCTTTCTGAAGATTTAAATATCATTTTTATAGTAAATGATCAAAGTAAAAAAAAACTAACTTTGACACATCTACAACCGCCAAAAAACACCTGTGCTAAATAGTTTAGAAATACATGTTAGCTTTTTTTGCAAGTTATAGGGCTATAAAAGGACATTGCCGTTTCAAAATATATATTTTCAAAATGTATCAATAGTTACATTGTAACACATCTGTCATAAATCTGAGAATCACACCTCACATGTACTTTTTTTAAGCAGACAACCCAGAGTATTCAATATGGGGTATGTCCAGTCTTTTTTAGTAGCCACTTATTCAAACACACTGGCCAAAGTTAGCATTTATTTTTAAAAATGTAGAACACAATTATGAACACTAACTTGGGCCAGTGTCAGAGACTAAGTGGCTTAAAAAAAAAAAAAAAAAAAAAACCACCCACACACAAACACCTGAACATAACCCCACTTGCAATACCTTGGGTATTTGCAAATGTTATGTCATCATGGGGATATTTCTCATTCATGGGCTACCATACACTCTTCAAATGTTTTACAGTTTCTAAACACTAATTTGTGTTCAAAGTCTCCTGAGTAAAAGAGGAGCCCTCCCCCCTATGTACAGGTTTTAGGGTGTCATGGAAAGTTACAGGGTTAAATACAGTGCTAGCAAATTAAATTCTCTGGACTATCGGCCTGGTTGTCAGGCAGGTCCCTCAAATTGCAATCAATAAAATACATAAATATGCATGTAGAATTTAAATCATATACATATTTATATATTTGAAGTCTACATGTAGCTTTATGAATAAAATACATACACACAGAGTGGTGCCTCTGTTTACCAAAACCTTGGTTAACATAAGTTTCGGTTTACAAATGAAAATCCATTCAAAATAATGCCTCTGTTTAAAAAAAATTTTTTCGCAATACAAAGCAAGTTTCCCCAGGATGCATTGCAACTGGGAGGGTTATAGCACCGCTATGCTGCATGCTGGAGTCTGTGGGTAGCACGTGGTGTCTGGTGTGAAGGTGTTGGGAGTGGCATTTGCATAGAGTTTTGGAGACATTCTGGAAATTCTTTGCAGTAGGTTTGGGTACATTTCTCAAGCGGTGGAAAAGTAGGGAGCCGAGCTTCATCATTTGCATGCCTTTTACTGTGTGTTCTGCATTGTGGGTTTGTTTCCATGCCAGCTCATTTTGACTTTATTCTGACCTCCAGAACGGATTTATTGGTTTTTAATGCATTCCTATGAGAAACCATGTTTCGGTTTACAAGCTTTTCGCAATAAGAAACGTCCCGGAGAACCCATTAAATTGGTAAACCAAGGTACATACTTATATTAAAATAGTCCAAGCCTTTGCACTCCTACCTCCATCCAAATGACACTGGGGGCCTAGCCACACTTCTAAACTGCAAAACAGAAAACTTGCCGGCACTCCTGGATTTCCAATAAAGTAATTTATTGTCACGAATTGTAGACATTTCAGTTCTGGGGTGGAACTTTCATCAGGACACAAAGAAATGATCAAATACAAATAAACTGCTTTTATACTGAATAAATGAATCATTAACCACCCCCAGCTGTTCGTTAAGTGGGTTGGGCCTACTGCTCTGGAGTTTGGCTGCACACCTGAGTGATTCCAAAAACGTCAGAGGCATGGCCCGCCTCCATAGTAAGTTATCTGGCATCACTAGGACAACTACCGATGCTATTCCTAAGGCATCTCCATGCAACTATATAAAAATCAAAGTATAACCAATTTGAGACCTGTGCTAGGTCCCCTTTGATTTGTGGAGTGGCAGGCCACTGGCTGCTCACTGTTTAGTAGACATGCCCCTACTTGCAGCATAGCTAGTAGGGGCATTTGGGAGATTTTAATCTCCCTTATGCTAATATGGGGGTCATATACAATTCGCCATGACAAACAATAAGACGTTCTTCCGGATGGTTTAAAAAAAATAAAATAAAAATAAAGCAGGGCCTGCCCGCTGAGCCAACTGGTTGCACCAAGCGAGAGCTCCGTGCGAGACCCTACTAAAACTCCAACATCCTGATGTTTAAACGATCAAACTTTACATGGCTCCCAACTCACAGTGGCTGAAAAGAAAGCAGACCCACCTAACTCCATCTCAGCACAAGTTGCCGCAGAAACTTAAACGGCTGGGGCATGGTGCTACGCTACCAATAGCAAGCCTACTTACTCCACCTGCCAGGTTTCCAAGCCAGCGGTATGCAACGCCTCATCCTGACCTTGCAAGCTGGCCTACACCGGCCAACATCTGGGTCCAAAGGCTTGCACTGCCTCGCTGGGAAGGAGAACTATCATACAGCCTCAGCAGGAATCGGCTGAATGAGCTCCCAGACGGCGCAAGAGAGCAGACAAGTTGTTCAGTGGTGAAGTGCATTAGGTGTGCTAGAGAGAATTGTTTCGCCTAGACTTTCATACTGAGCACACAAGCCTCTGAAAACCTCCTAGGGAACTATGTCTTAACATATCCCAGTTTCATCTTTCTCCCTGTTAATTTGATACATAGCAACATTCCCTAAAAATCGGATTTATACTCTTGTATATGTTGTCCAGCGAAGTCAATAACTAATCAGTTAAGCTTCCCGTTTAGTCTCATGATTCTTGCTGATTGCAAGTGCCTCGTATCTTTACAAATGTTTAAATAATATAGGTTTAGTTTGTTATGCATATCAGGATACCACTCATGATAACATCTCTAATACATGGTGACCTACACAAATACTAATAACTTGTCTCTTGCTACAAATTCACATGACTCGCGTGCTGACCGGTACCATATGCAGACCTTAGTCTGTTTTCTCACTCACCTACACCAAGGATCTCTTCAGGTCAGTGGAAGCATCTTGGTGCCTATTGTTTGCAAACATTCTGAAATGCACCATTGACCCTCATAGAATGATGGGAGGGGGGTATGGAGGGAGTTTGGAAGTGGTGGGGAGCACTGCTCCCTGCCACTTCCATGTTCACATATTACAAGGAGGGAACAGCGAGCCGGTAGATCCCTCCTTGTAATAAACCAGACAAACAAAGAGGTCTTCGTTCATTCAAATTTCTATTAATTTTAGTCTGATGAATGAACGAAATTCCAGGTGTTTTACTGGGCATGCGCAGGAATCACAGCACTATCTAGTGTGTGCAGATGATGTGTCCCACAGGGCCTTCACCTGCCCACACTAAGATGGTGGCACCCAGGACCGGTCACAAAATAAAGACCCAAATCGCTTGAAATGTCAATCGGATGTAGGTAGATCTTTTGATACATTAAATACCAAACGAACATATAGTTGAGACCATATATGTATCTGTGTGTCACACCCCCCTAAACGACAGGGAGGACCCACTTATACAGTAGAGTCTCAAATACCGCCAAGAGACTCCAGGTGTCTCTACACAATAGAAACAATCTAGTAAAAGGTATGTAGAATGAATGTGAAGTCCATATTAGTATTCCTATACTTACTAAAGGGAATGCACATAGGACACAGCAAAGAACTGGCAATGTATCATATAAATTGGTAAAGAACCTTAGCTCCTATATGACAGCTTTAATAAAGTACATATGCTAAATAGGTAAAGGTATTCATTTATCTGGTTGCCAATATCTGTCTTCCTGAGTGCAAAAAATCCACAAATATCCTATATATATATATATACACACACACACACACACACACACACACACACACACACATATATATGTAAAAAAATCCCAGAGTAAATGTTTGCTGCTAGCATATACAAACTCAAAAAAATGAGTATCAAATCAAGCCAAATATGGAAAAAGATCTTACAAAGCAGCAGACCTTACCTATATACAGGAAATAAAAGTCTAGAATAGTCCAATATGTAGAGAGATTGAATATAGAATAGAGTTTGTAGAAACAAATGGTCAGTCCAAAAATACACTGCCATATATATTTAAATTATAAAGCCTCTCTCCCTGGTAAACTAACTAGACAGGTATAGGATTAAGAAAAGAAGAGAAAAGTGTTAAGTGCAATTCATAGTGCTAGGGTGCCATTCAGTGCCCAGTGTCAAAAATTGGCAGAACGCCCAACGCGCGTTTCGGTGCTTAGAGAGTGCACCTTCGTCAGGTGCCAACTTACTAATCATAGTGATATCTCTTAAATACCTTAAGTGTCCAGGTGTTCCTCCTACCGACAGCCAATCCGTATATAGCTAGTCTGTTCCCCACGTGTGTTTGACTAGCTGCTCCTACTTCCGTGTTGCGTCTACCGCCCACATGGTCTAAAGGGGGCGGAGCCAACACGTCATCCGTCCTGCTCCAGGACTAGCATATTAATCAATGGTACGCCCCCACATGTCGTCATGTGGGCGTATCCATACACGATCGCCTCTATGTCCACAAGACGTCTATCACTCATGTAGGCGTGTCCAGGATGTATCAAACTTACGAGATGCTATTTTAAGCCTCTGTTACCCTGCATATTAAACGGTCTATATTAAAGTGTCCCCAATGTGTATAATTATGTATGTGGGATCGCTATTGTATTATAACATATAAATAGACTTGTAGATATGTGCAAATAGTTCTGCATTGATATTCATCCCATGTTATAAGTTCCAAATCTAGGGATCATATAGAAAACATCTTATAATGGTACCAAAGGCTAACTCATCAATTTTAATACTAGTACCTCAAGTTACAAAGCTAGAGAACATGACCACTATCCTTATGACTGTAGGTAGGTTGAGATTAAAAAATACATAAAACCCTATATATAGTAATCTAAAGAGTGGCTATATAAGCCCACATCTACATATACTAGTTACAGAAATTTACAAGTGCAACTATCAAGGTATAGATTTTTACCACCCTTCATGCAATGCTTATTTACATAATTTATGATGGTATATAGAGATACAAAGTGTGTCGACACAGACCAAAGTTAGGTTGTACAGTTTTAATCTTGTATGAAAGGTGCATACGAGAATCCCTCATTAAGGCCCAGGGGAGAAAGCGTTTTCAATTTGTAGATCCAAAAGCTCTCTCTTTGGAGTAGCCTTTTATCCAAATCGCCTCCCCTTGGTCCAAGAATCACCTTTTCAATGCCACAGAATCTAATGCCCTCTGCTGAGCCACCATGATGTAATTTAAGGTGTTTAGAGACTGGAGTATCGACCAATCTTTTCGGATTGACCGAGTTTACATGTTCCCCAATCCTAAATTTAAATTTTCGTGAGGTCTTGCCCACGTATAGTTTCTTACAGGAGCATGACAGTAAGTACACAATACCCGTAGTTTGACAGTTAAAGAAATTTTTAACTAAAAAAATCTTGTTGTCCCAAGGAATCTTGGAACTTTTTTGATGGTCTACGTATAAATTTACACGCCTTACATTTGCCACACTGGTATGTTCCTAAGACAGTGGATTTTAGCCATGTAGTTTTTTGAGGTGTATTCTTTAGGTGGCTAGGGACCAAAATGTCTTTAATATTACGTCCCCTTCTGGCTGTCACAGAAGCTCTTGGGGTAATGACTCTCTGTAGGTGTATATCTTGATGTAGGAGGGGCCAAAATCTATCTAGAATTTTCATAATCTGGTTCCAACCTGCATCAAAATTCCCTATACACCTAATAATCTCTTGTGTTGATTTAGGAATTATTTTATCCTTTAACAGTTCTGACCGCTCTTCACATAATGCACGTTTATATGCATATTTTAAGCACCTATTCGGGTATCCCTTCTGTTTAAATTGATGTTGTAAAGCTCTAGCTTTTATTTTAAAGTCTTCAATATTTGAGCAATTTCTTCGAAGGCGCAGGTATTGCCCAATTGGAATCCCTCTTTTTAATGAGGGAGGGTGATAGCTCATCCAGTTTAACAGGTTATTCGTTGCAGTCGGTTTACGAAAGAGTGTGGATATTAGGTCTCCTTCATCTGTTAAAGAGATAGTGATATCGAGGAAATTAATTACATTTCCCCCAATTTCACTGGTTAATCTCAAATTGATGTTATTGAGATTGAGGAGTGCCACGAACTCTAAAAAGAGCTCAGCTGTATCCGTCCAAATAATTAGCACATCATCGATGTATCTTTTCCATAACTTAATGTGTCTCGTGTATTTTTCCATATTGGCATTGAACACCATAGTGCTTTCCCACCATCCCAGGTGGAGGTTGGCATATGAGGGGGCACAAGCCGTCCCCATAGCTGTCCCTCTCACCTGGTGGTAGTATTTGCCTTGAAAGATAAAGTGGTTATGAGTTAAAATGAATCTCATTAGATCCTGAATAAATTCATTATGTCTTAGCGAAACCACTGGTGTTCTATCCATGATTGCTCTAAGATGTTGCAATCCCACATCATGGGGTATAGAGCTATATAGGCTTTCAACATCAAGACTGCATAAGATGGCATCCCCATTAAGTTTGATACTACCAATGATGTTTAGCGTATGTTTTGTGTCCTTCAGGTACATTAAATACCACTTTCATAATGACCGAAGAGTGCATCTCCACACACATATGCACGCATGCACCTAGGGGCAGCTAGATGTAGTGTAGTCAGGAGGGCAGTAAAAAAAAGACCCAGATTGGGACATCCGCCTAAAGACTAGAACAGTTACTCACTAATCTGAATTTGGAGGGAGGCCATGATCCCTGGTGGTCCAACTACAGTAAATGGTTCTTTAGTCTGCTATTCATCGATTTAGGAGCGAGGAGGATGTGCTCTGACTCCGCAAGCACCAGGTTGACTTAAAGCAGCCAGTGCTTCTCAAAGCAGCATAGGACTGACAGATCAGGGCAATTCCTGTGCATGCACCATATGCCTGCATTCTCTACTAGAACCATCTGACATTACTGATCTCATTACAGAATTGGTGCAGAGAGGAAACTGCCTGGATGCTCAATTGTAGACACATTTGATTGCACAAGTTGTGTTTTTTTAAATTAAAACAAAAAAGTTAAGTGGTCTACAGTTATTTGTATTTTAGTTTCTTTCCTTTTACAATAAATAAAAACTGATCAGAATCAGTGGTGGTTTTTTTTTTTTTAAGCTTCTGCATTGACGGCAAGTTTAATATACAAAAGTAATGTGTCGAGTTCTCTTTTTGGGAAACTCCTGACCAGTTGTCCCAGAGGGGGTTTGAAACTTGGTGCTAAATAAATAAAATACTATTGTTCCAGTTAGAAAGATGCCATCCAAATTATGGGCGCTGATGGTTGCATCTCCCCTGACTCTGGTCCATTGCGGCTAAGAGCATTAATGGGAGATGTAGTGCTGAAAGCGGCCTATCCCTGAGCTAGGATCCCACCCCCCCAGAACACAGGGAAGGAGGACATTATCATGCCCAGTTTGTATTTCCACATCAGTTTCCAGTGTAGTCACAACGGCTGTTTAACGCTTGACAGCCGCTAGAAGTTGCTCGTACATTTAATATATGTGTACTGCTCGCCACTGACACGGCCTCACTAACTAGCTCGGGGACATGTAACGGCGGGAGGGAGCGCTGGGCGCGCGGACAGCCACAGAAAGACAAGAAGGAAAAAAAATTAAAAAAACCCCACACTAACGGATTGCGCGCGCGCCTCCAGACACCAGGCGCACGCGAGCCTTCAGACTGCTCTGTGAGCCAGTTGACAATTCACCGCACCCGCCCGTGTAACGGCACCATCCCTGCCGTCACTCACCGGGGGTGGTCCTGCATTTAAAGCCACCTTAAAATCACAACCACTGCATCTTAAGATGCGCATGGAAATATTCCAGACAAACTAGGGTAAACAAAACCTCAAATAGTATGAAACATCCGTCAGCGGGCGTTTTGTTTGTGCGGATGGAGCCGTAACGCGATCCTTGGCCACACCCAGTAATATAACGGCACTCGCTGCTCGAGGACCAAAAGGGCTGTCATGTCGCCGCGCGACACACACTGAGCGCGAGAGAGTGAGCGCGCAGCGCCCCCCCCAACGTAAAGTCGGCATCAATGAGAGAAAGCCAGAAAGGGGAGCGCGGCCGCCATCATTACAGGTGTTCCTGAGCATCACAGCCGTGAGATAACGGGTAAGCAGTGTGCAATGCAGTCACCACAGATTGCGTCGACATGTCACAATTCCAGCTTTAAGATAGTTAAAGGCTGCTAGATAGTCTAAGCCAGGTACAGTGGGAACAAAAACACAGCCGGCGTCTTGGCTCAGCGGCCACTGAAGATAGGCTGCCGGTCAGGGGAACCGACCGTCAGCATGACGGTGGCTGCAGAAAATGGCGGCCTGAGGGAGATGCCCCCGCAGCATCTCCAACAACGGGGTCTCTGTGATGCTCAAACTCCCACAATCCTCCACCCCCCGTCCCCCCACCATGATACATATACTTACCATTATTAAGCCGAATTAGAAATATGGCCGAGGAAACGGTGGAGAAAGGATGGGGGGGAGGAGAGGAAGGCAGACGGTGTCTCGATGAGCAAAGAGGACCGTGCCGCTATTTCGCAGACTCGCACTGAAATGAAGCCTCCTCCACTGCCTCCTTCCGCTTTCTTTAAGCTCTGCACAATGAGGAGGGAGGGGCAACTTCCTGCCTGGCTGCCCAGTGCCTGTGGTAGTTGTAGTCCGGCCATTGAATGGACTTGTAGTTTCTTAGGTGGCCGCGCTGTAAAGGATGCCACACACTGATGGATGCAAGTGGCTGGTGGATGTATTGACAGAGAGGAGGTTGGATTAATATATAGATTTGGGGTTAAGATGGAATTTTTTCCCTTGCTTGTTGCAAAATTGGAAGTGGTTTTTTTTTGCCTTTTTTTTGGTTCAACAGTAAAAAAACAGGTGTGAGGAAGGCTGAACTATATATATCAACTATACTGTTCAAGGTGTGACTAAATAAATGGCACTTTTTAGCCCAAATAGTTTAATATGCAACATTTGCCAGCTTTCCTATTTTGACCTACATTTGACTTTATACTGTGACATTCAAAAGATGCATATTAAACTTCCCTTTCCATTCCTACTCTCATGCGAAGAGACACCAACTTTCATGTCATGACACACATGCATTTATTGCAATTTTGATTAAGCAAAATCATTTGAAAATCACCTAATCAATTTACATAAGACTGCGATAAAATCAGATATGATTTTGGCCAAAATGCAGATAAATTGTACACATTTGAAAAAGAAAAAAAAAGACTAACTATTTGTGTCAGTTTCATTGTAAATCTATTACATTTACAGTTATCTGAATTTCATTGGCAGAGAGTGAACAACTGACCATATGGCTTAGCTCAGGAGCGATAATAAAAATTTCCTTCTCTGGTTGCTAGTGGAGGTTGGGGAAGGCACTGGTGTAGCAAGCTGTAGTGGTTGTGGTGCTTTAAAGATAGCAGAGACATTGAGCGGCTCCCTAATTTCTTTGGATGGCTAATAGCTTATTTATTAAACTAGCTATACCCTCACAGGATAGAGTCATCATAATACTTTTGTCTCTTGCCCCAACCATGTTTTTCCCATATCTTACCCAGGTACATTTTTCTTACTCCCCAAGAAATGTTTACCCTCTAACATTCCCAAAAATGTGGAAGATTTATCAAAGGGAGCTGAAAAGTGCCTTTATTTTTGGTCTCTAATCTGTGTTTATTATATTCTTCTAAAAATAGTCTAAACAGTGTTGTCAATTTCAAAAACGAAAATCAAATTTAGTGGTGATAAAAAGAGAAATAAAATAGAACACTTTTCGCACAGAAAAAGTGAAATAAGGATTGATAAATACACTGAAAAAATAAATGAAAAAAACTGATGGATACGGTAAAAAACAGTGACACTTTGAACACTCCCACCCCTTTATTTATTCGTATATTTCTCTAATATTTCTCAGACAAATTGCTTTCCTCAGCAAATTATGCAGAGACACACATATAGACACATACTGACCCATACAGACACACAATGACCCATACAGACTGACATACACAAACATACTGACTGAAGCAGACAATTACACATCTTACCTTCAGCATTGGATGCCTGGGAGGGGGTGTGGCTCTCAGGGCTGAATTGGATGCCGCTGGACTGGTTTTCTACGGGCACTAGTGACCAGCAATGTAAGTGCTCCCTAGCGCCCGGTAATATGGCCGGCGGCCGCAGAGCATACTTTCACATAAAGTCAGTGCCGCCCCCCCCCCCTCTTAAGCAGCGTCCTAGGCGGCTGCCTAGTTGGCCTATAGGAAGTGCCGGCCCTGTGTCCAGCCATGCAAATACACTGATGGACTTGCAGCTTAAGAACATTCTCTGTAACCTGGCCGCTGATTTGGACTGCCTGTGTAGGTGCTACAGCACTGCACACAAGTCCCATGGCTTTTATTGATAAAATTGGTTGACCTGTTCAGAAATGGTTGACCTGCCCAACTGATAAAAAATTATTTTTTCTTAAAACATTTTTTGAGAAATAATTTAAAAATATTCTTGCATGACAGATATCCATGCACTAATGACATATTATGCACAGCATTTGATCTCAATATAAGCTGAGAATAGTCATGGGTCTATTAAGTGATATATATATATGTGTGTGTGTGTGTGTAGGTTAACACAGTAAAGGAGTTTAAGCATGCATGGGATAGGCATAAGGCTATCCTAACTATAAGATAAGGCTAGGGACTAATGAAAGTTTTTAGAAAATTGGGCAGACTAGATGGGCCGAATGGTTCTTATCTGCCGTCACATTCTATGTTTCTATGTTTATATATATATATATATATATATATATATATATACATACATACATACATACATACAAGTGAAAAAACGGCTTGCACTCACGGTATTGTAGTATAAAAAGGTTATTCTTTATTCAAAACGTATCCAGAAAATCGTCACACCAACGTTTCAGCCCTCGTTCAGGGTTTTCCTCAGGATGAACTGACCGGTTGAGGAAAGCCCCGAACGAGGGCTGAAACGTTGGTGTGACGATTTTCTGGATACGTTTTGAATAAAGAAAAACCTTTTTATACTTCAAGACCGTAGTGCAAGCCGTTTTTTCACTTATATATTTTCGGGCTATGGCTTTGATAGCACCCGACTTTTAAATCAATTTGGTTAGGCCTGAGTGCAAGGACACACGCATCTTTTATATATATATATATATATATATATATATATAATACACAAGATCCAGCGCACTCGCCTTATTTGGCCCCCAGCAGCACCCCCATTTATGCATGTTAAGGTGAGTGCAGCCAACCCCCTCTTGTTTTATATATATATATATATATATATATATATATATATATATATATAATAAAAGACCGTCATTTTAACACCTGTGCTTTTCTACGTTACAGTGCTTGGAATTTCATTGTGTTATCTATATATATATATGTCTGTGTGTCTGTATGTATGTATGTGTTTGTATGTCTTTAGTATGTGTCTGTGTGTATGTATGTATTTGTGTGTATGGATTTCAGTATGTATTTATGTCTGTGTGTGTATGTCTGTCAGTATGTGTCTGTGTGTATGTATGTTAGTATGTATGTTTGTCTGTGCATATGTATTTCAGTATGTATGTATGTGTATGTATTTCAGTATTTGTGTGTGTATGTTAGTATGTGTATGTATAAATGAAAAAATGAAATGAAAAAATCTCAGGCACTCACTGTACTCGCTTCCAGGCAGACTTATTGCAACGTTTCGATCTATACAGGTCTTTATCATGCTAACACCACAGTGACAAAATTGCATTTATATACACACATAATACAAACAAATAATCATTGTGCAAATTCAAATTTCATTAGATAAACATATATTTAAAATAATTCAATCAATAAATCAAGACATTGCATCAGAACCTCAAAAAACATGGAAAGGATTAAACAAGTAGATGGCTGAGACAAGGAATAAGAAAAGATAAAAGGAGTCCAAGTTTAAAGCGGCACTGTCATGCCGAACTTACCTTTCCTAAATCTCTTCCTCTTCTCCCCCTCTCTCGGTATCTGTTCTTCTTTTCTTCCTGTCTTCTTTAGTTTTCTTTAAAATCATAAGACAAAGTAGGGATTCTTTGCCTTATGGAGGTTTCCTCCGCTTGACCAGCTCTGACCAGCGGAGGAGCAAAGTGTGCTTTGTTTCGACTGGTCAGAGCAATTCTCCCATAATTATTACCTTTCCTCTGTGTTCCCACGATACTTCCTGTCATTTTAGACGAAACTGCCGAATTGCGTTCTAACTGAATGAGAACAGTATGTTCGTTTGTGTTAGAACGCAATTCGGCACTTTGTTCGTCCTAAATTGGTCTTTCAGCCACATTTACTAATACTAAGTAAAAATTACTATACCGCGAGTAGGGGCATGTCTAGTACACAGTGAGCAGCCTGTGGCTGGTCACTGTAAAAAAAAAAAAAAACAACCTATTGGCCCCCACCTAAAGTAAAATAAGGGGGGAGACCTATTGTGTCCCCCCCCCCGGCCCCCACCCCTGCGCGGTGGGTGGGGGCCATAAATTACAATGAGGAGGGGGGACCTACTGTCCTCCCTCTCTCTGGCCCCCACCCCTGGGCGGCGGGTGGGGGCCATAATGATAATGAGGGGGGACGACCTACTGTCCTCCCCCGCAGGCCCCCACCCCTGGGCGGCAGGTGGGGGCCATAATGATAATGAGGGGGGACGACCTACTGTCATCCCCCCCAGGCCCCCACCCCTGGGCGGCGGGTGGGGGCCATAATGATAATGAGGGGGGACCTACTGTCTTCCCCCCAGGCCCCACCCCTGGGCGGCCGGTGGGGGCCATAATGATAATGAGGGGTGGGGGGGACCTACTGTCCCGTCCCACCCCTGGGCGGCGGATGGGGGCCCTAGGTCAAATTCCTCCCCCCCCAATCAAAGGTGACAAGGGGTCCCCAAGCCCCTAATCACCCACCCCCCCACCCAAATAAAAAAGGCCCCTACCTACCCCCCTCATCCTAAAAAATAGTGAGGATGGAATAAAATTACTAACCTGTAAAGTAAAATGAAACTTACCATTCGACGTCTTCTTTTTTCTAAAATCTTAATTTTTCAGCCCCAAAAAAGGCCAAATAAAAAACCATCATACCCGTCGAACTTAAAATAAAATAAAAAACCTGAGCGCAAAAAAATAATCCATCTTCACCCATGGAGGGCTCCGCGCAGAATGAGCTCCGAAGGGCGGAGGAAGGCTTATAAAGCCTTGCCCCGCCCAGAAATTAGGCTAAGAACACTCTGATTGGTGGGTTTAAGCCAATCAGAGTGCTCTGTGTCATTTTACACAGCGTGGGAAAATTCCAAAGAACTTTCCCACGCTGTGTAAAATGGCACAGAGCACTGTGATTGGATGGATTTCAAGCCATCCAATCATAGTGCTCTGTCATTTTACACAGCGTGGGAAAGTTCTTTGGAATTTTCCCATGCTGTGTAAAATGACAAAGAGCCCTCTGATTGGCTTAAACCACCAATCAGAGTGTTCTTAGCCTAATTGCAGGGTGGGGGAAGGCTTTATATGCGGAGCTCATTCTGCGCGGAGCCCTCCATG